TCTGATTCTCCTCCCCATCCCACTGTGGGGAGCGGGTAGGAGTGAGCAAGCAGCTGCTTGGTACTTAGCTGCCAGCTGGGGTTAAACCACGACACCAGGCTAAAATCCCATTCTGTAATTTCAACTCCTAGCTGACTTCTACACTAAGTGGAAGTCTCTATTCCCACGTTCTAGTTGAATTTTAACTGAAAATTAACATCTACCGTGAGACTACTCATACCTGTTCCTGGCTACTAGGTCTTCTCCATGCACAAGAACATTGTTTTAATATTCAGACGACTTTGTAGAGGCCATCCAAGTAACAACAAAAAACATATTTATGAAATAGCTAAAGTGTAAATTAAAGAGTATTTCTACACTATGTTTTAACCCAAAAGACTAAAACCCCAACAAAAACCAGCTGCTTGAGTTATTAAAGACTTTTTATAGATACAAAATGACTCTATTTTTAGTACTCCAATTCGCTATGAAGTAAACTATGAACTCTCAAATCAGTAAGATAAGCAATACTTCAAAAGATTTTTCCAAGATACATCTGCAGCTTTCCATTTATATTTTGACAATTAAAATCACTTTTTACAGAGGAATCTTACCTTTAGTAAGAACTCTAGTGTCACTGTTATTGTGAGGACCAAATAAATGTACATTGTTTTCAGCAATCTTGACATAAATGTACCTTTTTTCATATTCATCTGCAAAAATATTTTAAGAATGCTATATCATTTGGAGTTCAGTTTAAATAATAAAAACTACACTCAGCATTAGAGGAGAGTCTAGTTACCTGAAGGCATTTAGAGAGCATTAAAGCTGTTACAAGACTCAGTAATGGTGACACTAGTAAGGCTGAATTTTCAAACTGCAGAAGGTACCCCAAGAAGAGAGAAAACAAGTAGATTTTGTATACTTCATGCACCTGTTGAAGAAACAAAAAAAGCCACAATAAATTAAGATTACAGTGGATATATGTCTTGCTTTTTAGAGCAGTTAGATAGCTCACACTCCATTCCTCTGTTAATCAGGGGATTAACGGATCTCTATCCTCCAACTCATGAATCTAGCAGGGTACTGTTCAGCTCTGGAAAGTATTTCACATCAAAATGATCCTGGTCTGCCTCAGTAACCAGTGCACGATTACTTCACAAGAATTATGTAAAAATGCCAAAAGTAGTAGTATTTTACAAGGTCTCCCCATTCTGTAACACCTCACTGTGATGCAGCATGAAGCAGTAACCACAATGCAACAGTATGAACGCACAATTTGTGCGAAATAACTGACTGCTGTAAACATCTGCTTTCCTTGCCCTCAAAATAACTTGTTCATTTAACCTATCTCAGGAATACACAGACTCTTACTGACACTTTCTGTTATTTACTAATTGATAAGCAGATCTTATAAACCCCTATACTTGATTCTTTAGACTTTTACCAAAATGCCTATCTTCTTCCTTATATTTTAAAGGCCCTTCTTTGAACTAAAAGAGATCAAATGTTTCCCACTGCTAAGGAACAGAAAAAAAAAAGCAATCAAAAGAAGAGGTGACAAATTAGAATTGCATGCAGTTTGAAACAGAAAGTTACACCTAATAAAACTAGAAGGCACACCTGTATGAAATAGCATATATACCATTGCAACAGGCAGAGTAAAAATGCCTTATTGTTGCAACATTTCTAAGAACGATTATGCAGAATAAATTCAAATACTTTCTTGTACTGAAAAAAATCAACTGATCTTCAGCATCTGTCTAGTCTATTTATTAGCTAAATCAGTACAGGTCATTCAAGGTGAAAATGAGCCCTTTCACTGCAGCGAGCCAACAGAGCAGTTTTTTGGTCAGCCCCACCCGACTGTGAACAGGGGAAAGAAAAGAAGAGGCAGCGAGGCCAAAAAGGATGCATGACTGAGTATCATTCATCGCTCTTTCAGCTCTCCAAGGATGTTTCAGGTCTCAGAAGCTTTGTTTAGCTTCTGACTCTTTTGTTCGGAAAGCTGTCCCAAACACACTAGTCCAAAAGAGAGTGAGTCTAAAGCCATTTTATTCTTCTGATGGACATGACGTGCACTTCAGCTGGACCCAAGCTGCAAGATACTCAAGTCATCACTCAGTCTGGATCCTTTGGAGCTCCTGAGCACTATTTATGGCAGGCACCTCTGAGGCTGTATTTAAGTCCCCAACTATCAGTAGGCTGAAGAGTTCTAATACCTTCTCTGTCTGTGCCAGGGCAAAGCTGTCCAGCAGAAAAAGAGAAACAGCCTGGATAAACAGGAGATAATGACTGTATTCCCACATCATCATGAAGGTGTATGTTGAAGCACTCACCAAAAGGTAACAAAACTTCTGGAGAAAAAAAGAAAAACAAAATAAAGCATCAATTTCATACCTATGCATCTCTGTCACTAAGTAACTGAGAGGTCACTAAAACAGAAACTATGGAAATTAATTATTATTTTAGGAATTAATTAATTAAAATACTGACTTGAGACATATTTAACATGTTCTCAGATGGAAGAAAGTAATTACTGCAACATTCAAAAACATTTAAAGCCAATCAGAAGAAACATCTTTGACAGAGAGACAGGGAAAGGAAGTTATCACCATCTTCTCGGAGCAACAGGAAGAGCAACAAAATAGTTTACATAGTGAGAAAAATTCTGGATCAGTTTATTTTAAAAAGACAGCACACAGCTCATTACCACACTGTTCTCTCTGAACCCTCACTGGGGCATAACAGGGCAGGGCACAAGTTGCTTAGCAAAAACTGCACATGCCCAGGTGAAATCCAAGTGGCTGTTTTGAAAAGAACAAACAAAACATCTACTGCTTTCTGTCTAGTAGGGCAATAGTGACAGAGGTAACTACTCTAGAGCACAGTTCTAGCAGCAACTCTTTATTAGGAAATTAATTTTGCTTTACCTCAGCAGAACAATTTAGGTTTTTTTTTAAATAGCCTGTGAGAGCTGCTACTTGACATGCAAAATATGGCAAAGCCCAATTTTCCCTTGATGGTATGGAGTAATCAATTCTTGTTGTATCTGTCCTAGAATAAAGTACAGACAAACAAAATTATTAAAAGATTTATCAAGGAAAGCCTAAACGTCTCTTCTGGTTATCAGTGTGGCCTTGCAAGCAAACTACTCCTGTATTAGGTGTAAAGTAATACACAGTTTTGTTGCTGATATAGGTCACAAATTTAGTATCAGCATGGAAGGTCCAATCTCCATTCATTTATTCAGCAGGTCTCCTTATTAGGTGGCATTTATAGGACTGAAAGCCAAAAAGCATCGGCCTCCAGCCTTTTCTGACCCACCACAACACTGTGTCAGCCAGACGCATCACACACTGCTTCTGCCAACCTGCACTGTGACAACAGAGACTTCTTTGGCCACGAGCAGTGCCAAATGGTCTTACGTCCATAGGTAGGGGACCGCTGCCGTAACAGCGGCTTTTCACATTATGATGAAAATCAGCTCACAGCTGAGAGAAAAGATTCCTTTCGGTTCTCAGACAATATGTTTTAAATAAGTGATTTCGGCAGTCGAGCAAACATACTTAGAATCCAAAGTAGTGCTCCCTCATAGCAGCAGCACCAGCAGATAGTCTGTCTATAGGGAAAATTCTGCCCAGTAAAACAAGAGATTAAAGACAGATGGGGAGCATGCAGGGTCTTCTTATGGAATGACTTGACAGTATCTGCACAATTAGAGCTGTAGGAGAAAGTTTTAAAAAGTGCTAAAGTGACTTAGAAGCACAAGTCACACTTTCAAAAGTGATCAAAGGCATCAGTTTCAGAGGTACATAGTCTTCTTTGTGTCTACTACGCTTTTAAAAAGGAGCCTCAAGCTCCTTTATCATTTAGATATTTGAAAGCATCACCTTTCATTTTTACCTCTGAAGCCTCTTACTGAGGCATGCTTGGAGCTTTTTTAACTACCAGACTTTTCAATTTGTTAACATCTCTTAATCTTCTTTGCTGTTGAAAAAAATACAGATTTATTCACCATTTTTCTGACTCTCCACTGTTCACACCAGCTTGATGAAAAGTATTTTTAGCTACTAATTGCAGATTCGGTCATGATGACTTCACACTCCTAAAAGATGTTTCCCAACAGTTCAACTTTAACGGTCTATCTCTAACATTTTGCTCCTCTATCGCTCTTTTCTTTCAAGTGCTCTCAAGTTCACAGAAAGCCCCAGAGCTACTTGGTGACAAACCAGGAGCCTGAACACAAGTTCTCATTGCCCAAATGAGGCTCCCTATTATTGTGGCATTTCATAAAGGGAAGGGACATTTTCTTGCAAGTGAAATGGTTTAAAATAAAAAATCTTGAGATCAGGATCATCTAAGAAGATTCTACTTTGCCCAAAAACCCACTACAGAAAGCAGATTAAAAAAAGTATGAAAGACTTTTTACAAGAACAATGCACTTGGTCATTTCCTTCTATAGCAACAGAACAACCGTCACAATATTTAGAGCTGGCCACAGAGAGCAATTCTGTTTTGCAGCAACTTTGGAAATTTGCTTTCATTCTTCACCAGCACAAAACCAAAACGTTCTAAGGAATGTTTTTGCAAAATGGAATTATGTGTATTTACACACATATATAAAGTCAGTTCAACTGGCAGTGTGGACAGTTTGGACAACAGGAGGCCTTCCATTAGTAAAAGCATCATGAGAATCAGTGCATCTCTGAGAAATGTTTTGTATTCCGCATAAGAGCTTGCTCTCACAATGAGAATACGAAGTTTAATAGAAAGCATTTCAATCCGCTCTAATATTTTAAAATGCCTTATTGACAAACTAGATTGTATAAAGATGTTTTTCTTACCTGTTAATAATGAACCATGCTACAGTCAATCCCACTCATAACCCAACTGGTTACAAACAATGCAGTCACATAAATTCCCTGCAGTCCAAAAACTATACCAATGTAGAAATACACTGGTTCAATAACTTCCTGAAATTACAAATAAAAACGAAGAGACATAGCGGCAACTGAGCTGAAGCTGGAAATGATTACTATTTACTATTTGCATACTGCTAACAGTGTGACAGGTGCTTTACAAACAGGTAAGAGACAGCCCCTATTCTAGAAAAGTATTGAGCATGCTTTTATTTTGGGCCTAGGGAGAACAAAGCAGTGTGAATTAAGAGCATGCTTCAGGACTCAGCTTGCTAGTGCTATGATTTTTGTATTTGCTTTAGCATGAACATTGTATGTGTCAGATTTAATAAATCTATACTGCAGTGAGACACAAAGTTCACAGGACTACTGGAAGAAGCTATGTAGGGGAGGAACCTGGAGAAGTAAAGATGTGGCAAAAACAGTTCCAAAATAAAGAAGTAATAAAAAAAAAAAGATAAATGAGAGAGGACACAAGTATGCAGCGTAAGCAGAACAAAGCCCGAGTAGAGCAGAAAGAGACAAAAGGTTTATCTACAAAAGTGTTTTTCCCTTTTATCTATACAGGAACGGGTAGAGACAGGTACCACTATGACAGACTTCTGTACTCTAAAGGAGTTAACTTTCCTGTTTATAAGGGATAGCACAGATACTCTCCACATTTCTAAGTGGTTTGTAGAAGTAAAGAAAAAATAGACAGAAAAGTTTAGTGCATATAACCCCCCAAATCCTATGCCAGAGACTGACAGAATTGAGGAGAACCTGGACCTGGTGAGAGGCTTAGCTCAATTCATTCAACAAAAATTGCATGTGTTTATTGTACACAGCATAGAAAGTCTCATACACACACACATACACAACCATAATGAAAGCACAGAAAGTAGGAGAAAGCACATACTTCACTACCAGATGCTTGATACAAAACACTGGCAATCAACTCTGGGTACAAATTCATTTGCTGGACTGCATTTATTGTCTTCAGTGATATTGTCTTATTGTTGTGTGTCAACTCATAAACACCTACAGACAAAAAAACCATATTATTCTCGGAATCACTATTGCTGTTCTTAAAAGAGGTGAAAGTGTACTCAAAGGTAGGGGGAAACAGATTTGATCATTAAAGCTACTGACTGATTCACCACGCCTATCTTTAAAGGAAGGAGAAATTTCGGTGCCAGATGCCATTCCACCCTACTGATTTAGCAACGAAGTTATTAGCATTTTTTGATCTAGTCTTTAAACAGAAGGCTCAAAACTAACCAGCTGAAGTGGAGACTTTTCAGTAACATACTGATGCAGCCCTGGAACCAGCTACCTACAGATCACCTTCACAGGAGGTTCTTAAGAAGTGAGATAAAGATCTAACAGGGATGAGCAGGATGTATTAAACCTGTCTCCACAAAGAGGTCAGATATGATGGCCTCATCACCCTTTTCAGCCTTGCGTTTGAGACTTCTAAGAATCATTCACTTAACACAATATGCCTTTGTACGGGATTCAGATGAAATTGAAGCTGGCATACTTGAAGGATATATCATTCTGAGAGATTATAATTAAAGACTGATCATTGCTTAGGACAACAGAGGAAAGACAAAAAATAATTCAAATTGGGGTGGGGGGTGGGGGGGAAGAACAAACCCCAACAACAGTGCAACAGCCAAACAAGATAACTGTTTCCAGCTCTGAGCATATCTTGGTGTGTGATCTGCAGCTGATTTTCTGCAGGTCAAAGCAGATCTTATAACTGGGTTCAGCACAGCTATAATACACCTTTGAAAACTGGGTGCCCCCATAATACCTAGTAGACACATGAGTCTACCTGTTTGCAGAGGCAGCACGTCCAAATGAGGCAGTCCATCTATTCACAGCCTGGGTAATCTCCCTAAAGATAATGAGGAACTGACTATACCAAAGACCTATCATACATTGCTGACGTGCTACACATCAGCTGGGAAACAGCTAAACCAATAAAACTATACCTACAAAGTTTAACTGGCTTTGGATGAGGTTTCATGAGGGGACTGAACAAATTCAACAGCTGACTGCTGTGAGACAGGGCTATTCAGTCCCTCTTCTCGCCAGGGGTTCTTGCCTTTTCCCCACGCTAGCCCAGGTGCCCTTCTGAACTCACTAAACTAGCATGAAAGTGTTCCATCTTCTTTTCATTGCTTTCGTTTTCTGCTAGTTTAGGGACCTAGGGTCAGTGAGCTCCAGAGACAGTGCAGGACAAAAAGCAGGAGCACAAAGGAACCCAGTTTGTTCTTCCTGTTGGTTTCTGCCCCCGTTACTCAGTGCTCATCAACATCTATTCAACATACCTGACAGGAGTAGAAACCTCTGGCAGGGACAGGATGGAGGAGATCAGCTCTTGACAGAAACTGTTCCATCTTCTAACAGAGGATGGAAAACAGTAATTTCCGTCTCGCGTTCCCAGATTAAACATAAATTATGCTTACATGGCAGAAAATCTACTATGTAGCATAGGCAAACCCAACAATAACTTCCACACGGGGCAATATGAGAGTAGTACTAATCCTATTCCAGAGTACTGATGCAAGGCAATCTGCTGGAATACAGGATAGTTAAATACTGTTTTTTAAAAGGCACTGAAAAGTTAGGACAGCATGCACTTTTTACTTAATCTGACTGTTATACCTATACAAGAGTATAAAATCAGTCTCCCCAGTCTGCAGGAGGTTTTTTTACTGTCTCCAAAAGGAACAGGACTTTTCAAGGTTAATAAAACAAACGGGTTTTATACCTCTTTCAAAGGAAGGAGCCTTTAGCAGTTCTTTATAGAACGAGTAATAAATGGCGCTGTCACCCTGAAATGTAATTTCTCGTTCAAGTTCCTAGGAAAAAAAAAAAAAAATATATATATTCACCTCCTGCAATCTCTTCCCATAGAAGATTATATACTTTCAAATAGACTGGCTTTGTAATACAGCACATGGTTATGACTCCACTGTACATCTTCAAAGTATTCCACAAAATATTAATCTTCACAGCACCTCTGTCAGGTATATAATGCTCTCCATAACTTAGCAAACATGCTCAGAATCAGAGCAACTCAAATTCACATTATAAGTCAGCACAAGATTCACAGGAGCCTTTCATATTCACAAACCTGAATTTCATTCAACTTTCCATAGCTCCCTAAATAATACAGTTCTTTAAAAAAACCCCACACAAACCCATATATTCCTGTTGTTTAGCTCATGCAATCCCAGTATGCTTCAGTTTTTTCTCCAAATTTTAGAAAGGTATTTCAATGATAAAGGATGGCATGGAAAAACATATAAAAGCATGACAAGGACAAGACTACTGTTAGTAGGAGAAACACTTCAAAAAAAAAAAAAAAAGAAAAAAAGAAAAAAAAAAAGAGACTACATCAAAGACAGAGGCCTGAGTAGGAGGACATGGGATTCTGCAAGCAAGAGTTCCAACCTGACATAGATCAGCTTTGATTTCAAGGACACAATTTGGCTTTTGTTTCAGTAGTTTAACTTTTTCTTTACCTGCCTGCTGGAAAACCAGAATTTCCGTTCATGATACGTTGAGAGGTACACAGCATACAACATTCCACTAGTGACTGCCGCAAGACAGCCAAAGAAAAGTTTCGCAAAACGCTGAATTAACATATCTGAAAAGGGACAGTGAAAAAGCTAAAATAGTCCAGAGGATTTAGAAACAAACAGTATGCCCTACATATGACACAGTTCTGAACAGCAAGTAAACTTACTGGCATCAGAATTATCACACCATCAGCAGCACAGATACATTGAGAACTGCTTTGTTATTCCCGTCCTGCAGAGTTTTCTTTCCCAGTTGTTACCATTGCTTCGTATGACTCTCAGACAAAACACTCACACACTACACTGCAAATTTCTCTCCATTCTAGTAAGCTTCATTTTCAAACAAATTCCTAGAAGGAAAACAGTCTTCCAAACAAACAGAGCGAATTCTACATTTTTCCCAAAACACCACAAGCTTCTTAAAGACATTAACAGAAAGAGGTGGCAATACCATATCTAACAGCAATACTGAGACATCCTATTCTCCATTCTGTTTTTAAATATAAGAGGAAGGAATTAATCTGAATTTTACCAAAATCATTCAATGGGTGTCTACTTCAGCCGTAGCTCCCTCAAGTTAGTATGCACTTTTAAAGTTTTCGGCAGCTCGGGGAGCACTTGCCTAAAATTATACCTGGTTTTAGTTCTGTTTCCTGAATAGCTGTAAGGACTTTTTGTCTGTTCATGTTTCAGTACCATTACTTTATGTCTTTCAGCTTCCCAACTGAAAGATCATTCCAGGTGCAATTAAGATATTTATTTGTACTCCAAAAGTAACAATAGTAAGATCTGTAACCCCTCTGCCTCTCCCCCTTCCTCTCCTCCTACACCCAAATCTGAAACAATCCCGGACTACTATTTCACTCTGCAATACGTAAAATGTCATTATTAAAGAATTCTCATGGGCATGCCTGTTTTCTCTTGAAAGATTAAAAACCCTAATTCAAAATAAGTCTGTTATAAATTACTGCGCTACAAATATCTTCCCATAAAATGTAAAAGGATAATGAAAAAAAATCAGAAGTTGGCTAAAAATTCTGTAGCTTACATTTTGGCGATCTTCCCAGCTTTGAGTTTTCTTTGTTTCTCTCCTCTGGAGCCATTTTGTCAGATTCTGTGCAGTTTTGCTTCTTTCTCTGTCGCAGATCTGCTGCCCCTGAAGATATTTTTTTAAGTTATTGCAACGCAATACCTAAAATCACACTCTGAGAAATCCAAACAGCAGCAGGTAACAGCCAGTTATTGCTACTAATTCAATCCCACAAGCAGATATATTTGACAAAAAGACTGCATTAAAGTATTCATATGCCTAACTAAAATAACAATATAACAATACCGAAATCAATTCCTATGTTATTCCTTAGAAAATCCAATAGTTTTCTCTTGAGGTCATACTCTGGGATTATCCAGAACTCAAACTGGAAGCCAACTGGTTTATTCCATGGTGAACGTATTACACAAATGAAGGAAAGCAGTAATTTAGATTAGTTGATACAGACATTGGGAGAAATTGGTGCTAATTTCATTCTACTCTCATCCTGGTTTTACGCTGCGACAGTACAGTAGTGTACTAGGCATGTTACTGTAATACAAAAATTGGGCTACTCCATTACTTTTAAATTGAGCTGCCTATTAGTCATATAGTGAAAGCTTTTCTAAAGTAAATACAACTTTTTTCCTGCTTCCAGATCTACTGGAACTAAGTAGATTTATGAATTTTTAGTCTAACATATAACTAAAAAGTCCAGTCTCCTAGGCCACGTAGATGACATCACAAGACTGAGGGCTGCTTTGGCTTCCGTTAAGTGTTCTGTAAACAACAGCAGTTTGAAGGCCCATTTATATTACAGTCTGAAAGGCAACACGGCTAATTCACGGAGTGCAAGTCTCCATACATAAAGATTCATTGCAAAAAGTCTGTTACAATTACTATATTAAAGACGACATCCCACAACATTTAAGTTATTTTAGAATTGTGATGAAAAGGTTTAACTGTAACTCATGCTCCAGAATTTTTAGCTCTCCAGTTTGACCTACTGTCCAACATCGTCTGGAATTTTGTAGCCACTGATTTCCTCTGGACTTAAAACAGTTCTTTCATAAAGCCATTCAACTTCAAACTTGAAGTGTTAATCTTTGCACCCCACAACAAAGCTTTTAATTACTGTGTTTGTACATTACTTCAAGTCTAAATCAGTCTACTTTTAACTCCCAACTACTAGATTTAAAAGTTAGAAGCTAGAGATAGTAATATAAATAAACTATTAAAGTGGTGTCTCTGTATCAAGACACCTGTATTTGTGTTTTAACAGGACTTTCAAAGCAATTTATAAACCATTTGGAGCAAACCAAGACCTTAATGATAATATTTTTCATGGAACGGACAGAAAACATCTACATTCTGAAACAAGACAAGAACTGGAAAGATATTAAACAAAACAAGGTTTAGGGTGCTCAGTATCACATTTATCATTATGTCAATCCAAAATGAAATACACATCAGTACCTCTTCATGTCATGTATATGAAGTTAATCAGCAATGCAAACACTGAGTGCACGCCAATTAAAAATCACTTGTACCACACAAAATAAAATGGGGCGGAAAAACCCTAGACTGCCAGAATGGGCAGATAACTGTCTGCCCTTGTCATTCTAGTTATGATCAAAGCAACAGTGGTGAGAACACTGGAGGAAAAGGCATTTATTCTGCTTTTCTGGCTGATAAGTGAGCCATATTAGAAGTGTATCACACTTACAAAGCCTAGAGTTAGGAGCAGTAATAGAAAACTCCCAAAGAAAGAACAATTTAAAATTCTAATTATTCTGAAACAACTATATCTCAGTCAGCAAATGACCTTCAACTTCGTTTTGAAGACTGCTCAACAGATTCCCCCCTTCAAAGCAATAACAGAGAAAGATCCAAGTATGCTACTTCTGTTTCATTTGCAGCTGCCTCAAACAATAAAAATGCTGTTTCCACTTCTATGAATCCTTTAAATAGGGTGAAATGAAAGTCAAACAAGGTGACAACTAAAAATAACCTAGTATTTTGAACGATGACACAGCCTCTAGTATCTCTCTATCCAGCACACAGTTTTTCACACAAGATTGCTTTCTAGTTCCCTGTTAAGTTCCCAGTATTTTTTTTTGACTCTGTTTCAGACAACATGCACTCCACTTATTTTTGTGTATCTGTTGCAGAAAATCATAACCCATTGCTGCCATGTGCCACTATATTAATCCATTTTTCGCCTGCAAATTGAGCATTGTCTGCAATTCTTGTTCTCTCAGCTAAAGAAGGATAAGATAGACCTGGGAAATGTTCAGAGAAGGGCCACAAGGATGACTGAAGGTGTGCAATGGCTCCCATGCAAGGAACAAGGAATGAGGATGCCTCAGTCTGGAAAAGAAGATGACCAGCAGAAACATGCCAGAGGTCTACAAGCTAGTGAAGTGCACAAACGGGCTGAATAGAGAGCAGTGATTCACCTTCTTTTCTAATACTGGAACAAGAAGTTATCAAACCGACCCAGTGAGTCAGGCTAAAAGGAACCAGTTCATTGCACATCACCTTCATGTAGACCACTCCTAGCCAAACAATGTTCTGTAAGTGAAGAGTTTACACAGATTCAAGAGAAGATGGACACATTTGTGGAGGACAAACAACCAAAGACTACTAAATACGCAGAAAACATGTCCAGGTCATAACGTACCCCAGCTGAGAACAGCTGGGAGGCTGGAATATGCCATGGGACAGTACCACATATGCTTGTTTTGCTCTTGCATTTCTCTGGATGCATACTTACAGTCACGTTTCTGCTGATTTCCCCAAGAAAACTAAATGCCATCTCCTACTTCCCACAAAGGGGCTTAGCAGAGAAGAGACCTGGAGGAAAATGACTGGACGGGACTAAAAGTGAAACGACAGAGGAGTCGGACTAAAACATACAAACAGGGAAATGGAAGGGATGCCAAAGAAAAAGCACACTCACGGAGGCATCCACGGAGCCGACAGATGCTGCCCCGGGGTGCTCTGCACAGAGGCAACGCCGGGCGAGGGAAGAGAAACAGACCCCAAGTTCCTCGGCTCCCATCCACCCAGCTCCCTCCCGCTTGGTGCTGCAAACGATGGGCTGCCCTGGGCGGGGAAGAGGAGGCCTGGTCAGCGGGGCCCGAGGGGGCCGCCGAGGAGGGATCGGTCGG